AACCACGCAAATCTAAAACTTCTTGAATTCAAGCATTTTTTGAGAAAACTGCAACATTTCCTTATCGATGGTTCACTTTCTAAAAAGGCCATTTACAAGCGTTCTTGCTCATTTTGCTTCCGAGAAACATGCAAAACGGGACGGAAAACATGAAATTTTGCAATAATCTTGCCGCCACCCCTGCACAAAACGACGATAATTTTTCTAATTTCATAGACAACAGAAGACTGTATTTTTTCTACATAACCCTCCCCCTGAATTTAAAGCTGAATCCGCCCCTGAGTACTACCATGAAAGTGAAATTCATTTAATTCTACTGCAAGCGCTCTCTTCAACGCACTTTGCCAGAAATCTTACATTGTTTGAAAGGCGAATATTTTTTCTTAAGTAAATTAAGAAGAAATGTTGATGCATCGTAACATTAATGAAAAATTTATTGTCAGTACTGTGATTACTATCATGAGAGTAAAATTAATTAATTAATTAAGTAAAAAATAACAATATCGGACTTAAGGAAAATTTGCCAGAAATTTGCAATGTTTTAAATACGTCTGCGATCAATCAGGTGTTTTTCGTAAGGAAATTAAGAAGAAATCTTAATGCATCGTAAAACCCCTGAAAAATTCATTGCCAGCATCAAGAGTACTACCATCGAAGTGAAAATAATGTATGTGAAAGGTACAATTGAATTGACCATTTTTGGCCGAACGGAGTAAATTTATTGTTTTCTCAACGAATCTCTGTTAAAGTCACTCTGATATCAGTGTTCGGCGCAGTTGAATTACCTTAGTCATTATCAATAGAACAATAGTTTTCTAAAATTCCCGATAAGCTTTGTAAAACATAATGAGTGTGTCACCATTTCAAATGCAAGTAGATTTCACACTCAAGATGTGTACTTGATTGGAACAATAGTGCACAATGGCCAACTCTGTTCGTATTTCAACAAGAAATTCGTATTTCGATGATAATTTTTTTTTGTGCAGGAAATGCCCCTTGATAACAGCCAGTTATAGGCTTTTTATTGAATTTTTCTAGCTAAGATCAGACTCAATGGCCAGCGTATACTCAGGAGCAGGCGATGGCCGGTACGGTTCTGTAACGGTTCGGGGCCAAGTTGAATTCGGCCTGCAGTACAACTATAAAGCAGGGGCTCTGGAGATACAGATCAAACAGTGCAAAGACCTCGCCCCTGTCGATGTGAAAAGGAACCGATCTGATCCGTATGTAAAGGTAGGAAGTCTTTTCCTTCTGAAGGCGAATGTTGTTTCAATATGTTCCGATTTCCAGGTTTATCTGCTACCCGACAAATCCAAGTCGGGCAAACGGAAGACCAAAGTGAAAAAGCACACGCTCAACCCTGTTTTTGATGAGTGCCTGAAGTTCCACATGTCGATCAATGAGCTGGAAATCCGCACTCTTTGGCTTTCAGTGTGGCACTCGGATATGTTTGGCAGAAACGACTTTCTTGGAGAGGTCACGATGGCTTTAGAGAATAAAGTGTTCGATGACCCCACCCCGAAATGGTACAATCTCCAAGAAAGGGTAAAGGCTGGCAATTGGCGCATTGGGCTTGTTCTAACTTCTGGGTTTATTCTAGTCTGAACCCTTCGACGATATGTTATCATTTAAAGGCGATATCATAGTCTGTCTGAAGTTTATTCCGCCGGATATGACCGTGCACAAGAAAGGCAAGAGATCCAGAGGCTCGCTACACATATTGGTCAAAGAAGCCAAAGCCCTCACTGCCGTGAAAGCGAACGGATCATCAGACCCGTTCTGCAAAAGGTTGTGAATTGTCGGAAAATTTCGACGCTAACTAAACGTGGGGTTTTGCAGCTACTTGTTGCCTGACAAAGGCCGCCATGCAAAGCAGAAAACTCCAGTAGTGAAGAAAACCGTTAACCCCGTATGGAACCACACGTTTGTCTACGAAGACGTTACTCTGCAGGAATTAGCCGAACGGAGTCTCGAATTGACCGTTTGGGACCACGATCGGCTTGCCAGCAATGAGTTCCTGGGAATGGTGCGCTTTTCCTTAGGAACAGGTAAGTTCGCAAGCGTTTCTTTTTGACTGACTGACCCACTGGTTCTGGAACATCTAGGCAAGTATTACGGAAAGTCGGTAGAATGGATGGATTCTACTGGCAAGGAGCTGAATTTATGGAAAAGCATGTTGGAGAGGCCGAACTTCTGGGTGGAAGGATGCCTCCCTTTGAGAGCCTCGGTAACGCCACGGCTAACGTAGGAAGACTTCGCAATTCCGACTGGAGGATTACTAGAAGTCATGTGATATATTTCCAACTCAATCATTTTGTATTTGAAGTAATGTTTTATAAATATACATAAATTGTCTACTATAAGGGGGTCACTCTGTACTATGTGCAATTTGTGGCCCTTTTTTAGAAATATAGACCATTAGTTATCGCGCAATAATATGAAACCGATAATTCAAGTTCCATCACCCCTATATAGAATGTACTTAAATTTTACTAAGTGTGAATGTATATACAACACAGCTAGTTGGAGTTCAATGATCGTGCCCGAGCTGGTTTTGTAGTTTTAAAGAGCTTTTACGTATTTTATATTGTTATCATTATCCGATAATGAGATCGAAGACTAACTATTGTAAACCTAGCAAAACTGGTTTCTAGCTCGAAATGAATCAAACAAATTTTAATGTTAATACTCAAGGATTCAAATGCAGTGTCAAATATTTGCTAACGTTTTTAATGTGTAATACAGAGCCTCGAACAAGTCAATGTACATCTTCCAACAATTATTCTAAATGCGATGGTTTTCAAGTCTCTGTATAGTCTATCTTAAATGGTTTAATATTCTTGTTAAGATGTTCTCTAGTTTATAAACATGTTTTAGCTGTAAAGTGTCTGAGAAAACGATGCATATATTTTCTTAATTATTCAAATAATAAATAGTTTTTATGAAATGACTGGGTTTTTAACAGCGCGTTCTTCTAATGTGATAAATAAAATGGATTGAGTACCTTCTGCTGAGAGAAAAGTTTAAATATTAACGAATCTTCAGCACTTGTACGTTGTAAATGCCTTCTAGTGAAAGCCTAAGCATGTTTGAGAATTTCTGAACCTTTCCACCAACGTTATTTTAAGACTAGTGAGGGATAAAACATGGGCGTTAGTTCAGGGTTGAAAATGCGGAGACTTTTTCATGACAAACTACTCACCAGTTTCTCACTTCTCTTCTAGTAATCAGCAATATTTTGGGTTCTGATTTTCAATCGTAGGAACGGGTAAGTAAACCTTTTATCGTTTTTTAGGAAGTTTTATTCCATATCAATCATATGTACATCAGTATTTTTCAGTTGCTGCAAACAGCGCGAATTGAACTGAACTTAAATTAGTTGAAGCCCCCATTTTTGCTGAGCGATAAAGGGTTCGAAAAAATTAATCGGGACGGGTTAGTCTCAGTATCAAAGAAAAATAAGTATCTGAATGAATTGATAAAGTATTAGAAAATCGCTCTTCAAAAAATCGTTTGAAAAGCCAACCATTCGGTTGAAACTTCGCTTAACTCATGAAGAATAGAAGCGTGTCACACTCTTTTTACTATCGTCTAACCATAACAAATTATCTACTTAATCTTAATTTAGGGTTCTGATTTTACCTTGACTCTGGCTTGTTTTTCGGCGGCTTGAACACCTTCAGTTTCTTACTTTTCTTCTTGCCTTGAGCTTGAAAGCTCTGCCAACTGTTCACTCTGTTCTGTCTCGATTCCTCAAAGTTTTTCTGCCACTCTTTTTGAGCCTTTGCGTTCTCCTCTTCTTCAATTTCGGTTTCTCGCTTTCTTTTCCGTTCCTCCATGTCGCGATCGGCCAATTCTCGCCGTTTTCTTTCCAAGTCCGCAAACAGTTTCATCGTTAACACGTAGATTGCGTGCTTATACTTTTCAGGATCATCTTCAGGTATTCCTGGTTTGCCTTCTTTTTTTGCTTTTTTCCTCTTCTCGGTCAGCTGAATCAATAAACAAAATATCGTCTCAACAAAGCACCGGCGACTTTTATGATAGTAAAAGTTTCCGGGGAAGAGCATTTTTTAAACTTTTATTTGATGATACCTTTTTCTCTATGACTAAAAGCAAGGAAAAGCCCGGTGATTGCTCTTAGAAGGAAAAAGGAAGGAGCAATTTTTGAATTTTCCCAGAGGGACGACTTCTTCAATTCTTGCAATAAAAGCAAACAATTTCAGTTTTTAGCTTTTACAGATAGAGAAACATTTAACACTAAAGGAAGATTAATTTTTAAATACATTCAGGAAATAAAAAAAACGAAAACGTTGCGAAGCAGTAAAGAAAAAAATATATATTGATTTACGGATGTATCTGATCAACGTTTCGATCTTTTACATCTGCACCCGTTAAAGACAAAACCTCCCCTGAAACGATGTCGAAGATTATATTTAAGCTGCCAAACCCCCCATAGAACACATCTTTAGGAAAAGAGTTTTTATGTATTATTATATTACTGAACGAACTGAAATTAATGACTACTGAAGTTAAGGTTTAGAAAATGTTTGCAAAAAACATCTGGAATGAGTACAGTGAGTGTCAACTTACCATAACATCTGTACGACCAACAGCCTCTTCAATGATATCCATACACTTTTTCCTGGATTCCTCATTCTCCAAAGTTTTCCATGCCTTGTTCACTGCCTCGAAGGCCTGTTGAGCTCTATCGGAGTCGTCTTGATTCTTGTCAGGATGTACTGCAATTTTGAATAATTAACCATAATGAATGACAACAGAAAGCTGTTCTTTACAGAACATTTAAGGTATTTGAAAACAACGATTTTTCTCATTCTTTTTTCATCCATGAGTGCAATCAATTAATTAAAAAGGAACGTGAGGAAATTGGGTCCTTTAAAAGATCCAAACTACTGAAGACAAACATCCAAATAAATGGTTTTGCACTTATGTATCCGCCTCAATCATATTGAGCTTATCTAGAAGCTGTACGTTAAAAACACAGCAGTATACTCACCCAGAATTGAAAGCCTCCTATACTTCTTCTTGATTTCCTCCAAGGATGTGTTCGGCTCGACTTGCAGGACATCGAACGGGTTCAGGTTTCTGTAAGTGGAACCAGGTCTTAAAAGCCGTTCAATTTGTTGCTTGGGTGTTAAAACCGAATCTCTTTTCTCGATTTCTTTCACCTGCAAACAGTTTCTAGAGAATGGACACAACTGGAATACAAATAAACCTACCTCCGTGTAGAAAGAGTGAAATCTCGTATCTTTGTCTGGTTCTACACGATAACTCATTATGCTTTTTGCCAAAATCAATAAGAAATGCGTATTTTTCAGTTAATTAAAGTTATAACCATGTAATAACAAAAACAAAGTGTGTTAAACGCGKTTGACGTTAGCCATGTGAAAGACGTCATGTGCGTATGCACCACWGATCGCAGAGGTTATCTCTCTAATCTGYGTGAWCTGTGYCTCGAGARTAAKTAAAATRAGARWGGTGGCTATACAATGGGTGAACTTGGTACCGTATTAAGCTGGGGTCGCTAAKGTTTTTTSCAAATMTTTACCAAKSAATTTGRAGCGTGTATTATWYATTAGATAAAGTCTTCTCAAATGGCCRATCCAGATTCAAGATTCAATATAGTTTAAGAAAATGGCAGATCCATATTYACAGCTCATGATTTKTCATTGCTTTATGCTGCTCGCAGYWTTAAAGCGACGGAAAACTTAACTTTATTACTSTGGTAAATTGAGATTTTCGAACTTTTTAACGAGAAACGAAAAAAAGGTAGTCTASAGACTACTCACTAGTGCGTATCCACTCAAGTTCATAGAGAAAGACGAGCTCAAGTTACASTTTTTTTCATTWCACTCTTGRTGACWYKKCMCWYKGTKCASTYGTCTTYATMTAGATACCCATAGGGGTGACATTGTCAACCGCAAAATAACCTCACTTWAATTTTTATGATACTTTCGTAAGTTGGTTTATTTATATGATATATTTTAAATAATTTTACAACATTAGCACTATCTCTCAAGCTTTCTTCGGTCGGTGACCAAAAATAGATGTGCCCACCCTGACATTGGTGCTGCCAAGCTGAATAGCATGCTCAAAATCATCGGACATTCCCATGGAAAGCCCAATATCTTTCCAGTTCAGGCCCAATTTCTTACAAACATCATCCCGGCATTGTTTCAAGCACACAAAGTCTGGATTGGGTCCTTTAGCCAGGTCGTACCCAAACTGTCCAATGGTCATAAGCCCATCTAATCTAACAAATCAGTACAGCCTTGGCGAATGGTGTTAGTTGCTTTGATATTTAATATGCAAGAGCCTACCTTAGATTAGTGCACTCTTTAAGCACATACTCAGTCAGGCCCTGAACCTCCGATGGATTAATGCCATTTTTCTCTTGTTCTCCACTGGTATTCACTTGTATCATGATATTCAGCTTCGAATCGGGGTTGAAATTAGGCCAGTTTTTATTCAACTGTGTCGCCAGCTTCTTGGAATCCACAGTTTCAATCATAAACAAATTGGGCACTGCGAGAACCTTGTTTACTTTGTTGGATTGCAGATGGCCAATAAAGTGCCATTTGATATCTTTGCAGTTTTTCAAAATCAAAGAATTGTGACCTTTCTCTTCTAGCTCCTGCACGTAGTTCTCCCCGAAATGTCTCTGACCTGGAATAAGTGCAGTCTATTGTATACAAGTCTTTCGTACCATAAAGGCGCACCTTCTTCGTAGGCCTGCAAAATTAGCTCGGCCGGCTTAATCTTGCTCACCGCAACTAAACGGGGCTTTACATCTTGAAGATCGGGACTGCGGTTACCTGCAGCTACTTGCACTTGCCCCAAAACCTTCCTAAGCCCCTGTCTCACGTCCACATCGGCCATGCTTCTTATCATTCTATTGGAACATGTTGCATCATATTATTGTGTAGCAGAATGTTCACGCAAATATTTACTTTTTTCGATATAATAATAGAAAAGAACAAACTGATAGTACAGCAGTATTTACAAATGTTAATTTGATGTTGAAGGCTCAAATAAACATAACCTCAGATAAATAACGGTCAGAAATACGCCAGTTAAGAGTTCACTGCGGCGCCACCTCGTGAAGACGTTGAAAATGGGCAAATACCAATAACTTTCAGCTTTCGAAGCTGGGCATTTTTACATAAAAACATTGACTATATATAGTTAACATTACAAATTTGTAATTTAATTGTATAGATTTTAGGCTCATTAATGGAAATAACCTCAGTAGAGCAAATTTTCGCAATCACAGCTCCGTTAATTCGCTTGCAATCAATAGAGGTCCTGATTGCAGTGCTGTCAACTGTCGCATTAAGAACCAAACAACAGCAAACATTTGACAGCTTCTTTCATTGACTTGCGGTAAGAGGAACTTTAGGTAAGGTGGATGAATTTCCTTAAATATTTCTTTAATCCTCTCAGAAATTTCCCGTAAATTGTTGAAATCAGATTGTGGTATAATAGTTTAAATCGACCTGTCCTATATTTATTTACTAAGAGTGTGTTTTTTCTTGATTTTAGGCGACAAAAATGGGTCGTCGTCCCGCAAGATGGTAAGTCGATTTTTTGCTTAAAAACCATAGTTTGCAGCGGGGTTCAGTATGGGCCTTGGTGCTGCGTAGTTTATTTAGCTATAAAAAAAGTGCCAATTTGTTATCTGCAAGTGTTGCTGAAAATGTAACCTCAATCACACTGAATGTGGATAGTTGCACTTTAGGAAAGCTTATATTATATACCTGGCAATGTGAAAGCAATTAAAATATACATTTCCTTCTAGTTACCGGTATTGTAAGAACAAACCCTACCCAAAATCGCGGTTCTGTCGGGGTGTCCCCGATCCCAAAATCCGTATTTTCGACTTGGGCAAGAAGAGGGCCTTTGTCGACGATTTCCCGTTGTGCGTGCATCTAGTTTCTGATGAATACGAACAGTTGAGGTAAAATTCAAGACCAGCAAAGTCTTCTGTAGAAGCTAAAAGCATACTTATTCTAGCTCCGAAGCCCTAGAAGCTGGCCGTATCTGTTGCAACAAGTACCTAGTTAAAAACTGTGGTAAAGACCAGTTCCATATTCGCATGCGACTTCATCCATTCCATGTGATCCGAATCAACAAGATGTTGTCCTGTGCTGGAGCTGATAGGTATTTATACTGCACCATCTGGGAACATTCGGAGGTTTAACCCCGGGTTTTCCCCACAGGCTCCAGACTGGAATGAGGGGAGCTTTCGGAAAACCTCAAGGAACGGTGGCTCGTGTCCGCATTGGACAACCCATCATGAGTGTGCGTTCGACCGACAAATTCAAGGCCCAGGTTATCGAGGCTTTGCGTCGTGCCAAGTTCAAGTTCCCTGGACGTCAGAAGATCTACGTTTCCAAGAAATACGGATTCACCAAGTACGAAAGGGACGAGTACGAAGACCTGAAGGCCCAGGGCAGGCTCGCTCCTGATGGCTGCAATGTCCAGTACAGGCCTGCGCACGGCCCATTGGCCACTTGGAAGAAAGTCCAAGAAAGTATCCATGCGGCAGCGTAAAAAGTTTTAGGATTATCGGGTTACAATCTACACAGACTGTAACCCGAAAACCCAATTAAACACCTGGGGTTGTACGGGATACAATAAAAAACTGGGATTTCCAAGCAAGTATTGGTAATCCAAAAAGAATATTAATTTTTTGTTGTTTTTTTTCTTTATTAGATTAATGAACTAATTGTTTACAATCTGCTAAGCCCAATGAAATCGTGTAGGCCCCCGAATGAACATTATCCAGTTAAACGTTTAATTAATCATCGATGAGAAACGGGAAATTGAACTGAAAATGCTAGTAAAATTAAATGGCTAAACTAAGTAATAGTGCGGTGCCCCTTTTTATCCAGTAATCGGAGCCTTCCATGCCACACTTTAGGTCCACGGCCACAACATAAGCAGGCCTGTTTGCTGCTCCAGTTCGGATCGGGAAATAGTACACTGGGCATAAGTACAGACCTACAATTTTCCTGCTAGTTCAGTTTCGTGTTCGATTAAATGGAAAAAAATACAGATTCGGATCGTGGAGAACTTGCAGGGTGGAACAGTTTCCACTAAAGTCTATCATTACCTTTGGATTTCTTCTTAATTTGCTCCACCGGTTTGAAATGAATTAGCGGCATCACTGAGACCAACTGCATGGGCTGCGGCTCGATTAGTATAGCGTTTTTCCGGTCCCATCCAGCCCCCTCCAAGAAGGTGCCTCGCACATAAACCCCAGACTCTGGGGGTTGCTGTATTGAGGTTTCCTCAACCGAGAGCACCGTAAACTCCCAATTCAGCGAGTCAATGGGAACTTCGTTTTGTCGGGCTGCCGTCTGAATGGTAGGCATTGAAGTTGGTAGTTGTTCCTGAAGATTATTGAGATATGGCGAGTACCTGCAGAACGGCAGTTAAAAATCCTGTGGGAAAAGTGTAGGCGGCCAGCCAGAAGAGCATGGGTGGATGAGTAGTTACGGCCCATGTCGTAAAGTGGTCCACTCTGGCCATCAAGTCTCTGGTCCAAGAACCCAACAGTTTCAACGAGGGATAAGCTGATGGATCAATCAAATTGAGAAATCAGCAAAAATTTCTTTCAGATCACAAACGAACTCACCCTTTAACCATGCGGAAGGCACCCGGCCTTCAAACATGCACGTGAATATTTCCTCCAGTTCCGCAGACATGACCACCAGCCCTTTGATGCCCTTTTGCAGGTCTTGCAGCGACGAATTCATCAAATTCAGCAGGTTGTTGTAGCTAGCAAAGCAAATGGGCAATAGCGCATAATATGGGCGAAAACATCCGTTGCCAACCGTTGAATCTCCTGCAAAAGCACCACATCCAGAGGCGTTTTGTTCACCCCAGTCAGCTTGTCCGTGTTCTCATAATCGATCGGTTTGGGCACCTTCGAGAGAACATCAGCAGCCAATTTGGACACCTTGGATTCCTTGGACTCGCCTGCAGCTGTTGCGCTCTGAAAACCACAAGTCTTCGCTACTGGACGCTTGTCCCTGATCTGATCTGAGTCACCTGGATTTGCAGCGACATCAGGGTTTCGAATAGATTGCGCGCCTCAGAGATCAGAGACGTAATATCGGCATTGGGATGTTGGCCGAAAGCTTCCGGCCTGTCGATAGTAGGAAGTAGGGTGATGTAATCTTGGTAGGACTGCAGGGATCCATCCCGAGGCACATAGTAGGTGCTCAATGAGGATAATCTGAAAAAGGATACTAGATGGACATTCTTTGCCTCAGAAGAAGACGATCTGACCCAACATTTGTTGAGAAAAAGTGTCTGGGTCTACGGCAATTGATGAACAAAGTTCTTCAAAAAAATTATGTTTCCTGAAATAATTTTTAATTTGTTCTGATGTAAGATTGATGTTTTGATGAGGCACGCGATAGTATGAAGTAGGGTGATGTCTTGGTAGGGCTGCAAGGAACCATAGTAGGTGCTCAATGAGGATACTAGATGGACATTCTTTACCTCAGAAGAAGACGATCTGACCAACTTTTGTTGAGAAAAAGTGTCTGGGTCTTCGGCTATTGATGGACAGTTCTTCAAATAAAATTATCTTTCCTGAAATAATTTTGAATTTGTTCTGATGTAAGATTCATGTTTTGATGAGGCACGCGATAGTAGGAAGTAGGGTGATGTAGTCTTGGTAGGACTGCAAGGAACCATCACGAGGCACATAGTAGGATTATCCTCAATAAGGATAATCTGAAAAAGGATACTAGATGGACATTCTTTGCCTCAGAAGAAGATGATCTGACCCAACATTTGTTGAGAAAAAGTGTCTGGGTCTTCGGCTATTGATGGACAGTTCTTCAAATAAAATTATCTTTTCTGAAATAATTTTGAATTTGTTCTGATGTAAGATTCATGTTTTGATGAGGCACGCGTGGGCAAGTGAGGAATTCTTGAATGTCTTGGTACAAAACTGCCAGATCTTTTTACTTGGTTGCTGAAATCAACTGATTTTTTTTTGAGTGGTTGCAATAAACCTTTCTCGATATTCTTGTGCTCCTTGCAAAATTCACAGTTTTTGCGCAAAAAATTGATGAAGGAATTAAGTTACTCTTAGTCAATGTCCTGACTGGGCTTCGCTTTAATGCTGCCGTTAAATTACCTGAAATAAGGCACATTAAGAGCATCCTCGCAAAAGTACTGATTGATGTAGGTGGTCAGCAATCTCCTATCCCAGTCGTCCGTAACGTGGCCGCCGTAGCTGACGCCTGCAATCAGATACTTCAAGGCGTCCCAAGGAGTGTTTTCCGTGTATTCGTCCAGATAGATTTGGAGCAAATTCTCCGACACTTCAAAGTCCGAATCGTTGAAGCTGTAAACCACATTCCAGCCCAACTGTTGGAACTTCTTTCGCTCCAGCAGAATGGAGTGGAAGAAACAGAGACCAAACAGCAGCTTTTTGTATTTTTCCGGATGCTGACAGGCGCTGAACTGCTCTTCGGTCAGCAGCTGGTAGAGGCGTTTCAAGTTGGCTTTTATTCCCTGAAAAAAAACATTTTAATGAATGGTAAAAACCGTGAAAGTCCTATTCAAGATCATTACTGTCTAGCAAACAGTCTGAGATTATTTTTGCTGCCTTTTGGTTATTATTATCTTTTAGTTATTATATTTTTCTTTCCTGGGAATGATATGAACATTTTTTTCATTTTGACTGAAACCCAGGAAAGAAAAAAAAAACAATAACAGTTACACGCAGTCAGAAAAAAAAGTTTTATTATTGAATTAATTCTACGCCTGATTTAAAAGCGAAACTGTGTGTGTGCAAGAACAAGACCAAGATCGCAAAAGTCTTGGTCAATCGCTTACTTTAGGGGGTTCAGTTGTCATCTTAATACCGGCTTGTAGAATCGAAATGGGAAAGTCTGGATGAGGACTGGAACTGAGCCACAATCGAAACTTCGGGTTCACTTTGCCGGTTTGGAGAATTTCCACGATTTTATCCAGTTTGGGCATCCAGCTCAGCGACAAGTGGCAGTTGGCCAAGAACACCCACTGGCCTTCTCTGGCTCCAGTCTGCAACAGTCTGAAACCTGGATAGAGAATCGAAGCTTTTTCACTCCCGATGTCGGTTACTTGGTAGCTATTGGAGCCTGGCCTTGGCCCAAGCTTAGGGACTGAAACCTTGAGGTCATTTTCGCCGTTTCTGCAAGCTGAATCAATCCTGAAGTCGGATCCACTCCGGGCGAGAGCACGAAAATCAGCGGAGTTTGCGGCACTGATTCGTCCAAAACAGCCTTTACATCTGAAAAATTTTGCCTCCTTCATCAAGTGCTTTTCCAGTTGCATAAACCCTACCTAGAACCGGAGGTTCGACGAATTGGGGTCCCAATTGGTTCACAATGAAATTTGAGATGCAAAAAGACACCCGGTCAGTTCTCAGCGATCGCACGAACAACATCTTTTGGAATTCGTTGCAGATTCCATCCCATTCTCCTAAAATCCACTCAATTAGCCATTGGGAGAATTTCCACATGAACTTCTGTGCCTATAAGTGGAAGCGTTTCGGGCTCAGTATGCGTGTACCAATTGTACCAATCTCTTGAGTACTGTTCAAAGGAATCGATAACACCGTGAAAACCTTGCAACTTGTCCATTTCGGTTATATTGTCCCAAGCTATTTCGTTCAACCAGGCTAGAAATAAAAAAATTGAAGGTAAAATGAAGACTTGTATTTACAGAGGGATTCAAAATTTTGCTGAACATCTGGCACTGTACGTGCAACTCTTATAAAAGTACGAAATAATCAAAATATTGTGAAATTCTGCCCGATTTGTAGGAAATTTTGCGCTCTTCTTTTTTTGTTCTTGGTAGAACAATTGACGCCCAAGTATCTCAAACCTGATTTAAACCAGGAAAGCTACAATGTTTTTCCTCAACGTCGCGCTCCTTTGAAAAAATCGATTCTTCCAAACTAAGGTAAACAGCAAATTGAAAATTTATACAGTTTCAAAATGGGCGTTTCACTCAAGTGCACTCTTTATTGAAAAAAAATCGCATCTTCCAAACTAAAGATAATAACAAATTGAAATTCTCACGATCTTTAGAAAAAACGTGACTCTATCTATGCCCACAGTTTCATAAAAATTACCCATACTACTGATTTTTGAAAGTTTATTAAATCCCGATTCAAAAATGGATGTTTTCTTCAACCCAACTTAAGAAATCATATATTCGAAACCAAAGAATTAAGCGATTTGAAAATTTTCCTTTGAGTACCCTTAGCAGACACTTGTGTATCAAAATTCGGAAATTTTTAAACAAATTGGCGGAAATATTGATTTTTAGCAGCATAGTTAACACCGGTCTTAAAAAGAGGATTTACTCAAACGCGCTCTTTTCTTTAAAACTTCGCGTCTTTCAAATTAAACAAGCAGCAATTTAAAATTATTACCATCTTAGGAAGAATGTTGGCACGGAAGACACTGAAAGTGTTGAAAATTGTCAAAAATTCTGATTTTTACCAGCTTAGTAAAATATATGTCAAAAGACATGCTTGCACAGAATTGCGCTCAATCTTAAAAAAATCGGATTTTTCAAACCAAATAAAACAAGAACTGGAATTGTTCACTATCGTTAGAAAAACCTTGACTCTAAAGCTGCTGAAAGGTTGAAAAATATTGCCCGGAATCCTGAGTCTTTTCAGCTAGTTTTACACGCAATTTTGGTTACACCTTGGTTTGGTCGCACTTTGCACGACTTGTGGTTGGTTGAACTGGTTGACCCATTTATTGATAAATCAATGATTAATTTTTAAATTATTCCTTATTATAATTTTTCACTTTCGTTACCTGCACATGGATTTTCCATCTGATTTTCTCTATCCAGCACAACGCCGCCCTTCAACAGAAACGCGTACTCGTTTACAACAATTTTTCCTTGAGCGGTCAGAATCTTTATGCACATGTGGAACGAAAAAAGGAGCTTGTGTTTTTCGAACAGAGCTCTACATGTGTTCCTAAGAAAAATGTAAGAATCAGCAAAGTGACGAGAAAAAATCAGAAAGTAAGCGGTTAAAGTGGTGACTTGCTTACCGGTAAACGGAAAACGTGTGATACTCGTTCAGCGCATTGATGCGATCTTGTAAAACTGCACATTTGGGACTTTTGGCTATGGACTTACTGAACAGGAAAATGTAGGCGTCCAGGGCAAACTGGTACATTGGGTCGATGTTTCCCATGTCATTCAGCACGAAGAATAGAATAGCCGCTCGTTTCGCACATGGCCTGTATCCCTAGAATATCAAGCAAATCAACCAAAAAGTCTGTTTATTTGGGCGAGACTTTGGCTAAGATCTAAAAGATCCAGCCCATTACATTACCTCTCTTGCAGCATCAATTTGAATCTCCGTTTTTTCAGACACTTCCAGACTTTTAAACACCGCTTCTGCTGTCGCTTTGGACGTTTGCAGCGTGTTAAACAACGCAGCATCCTCCAAAAGCGAACCTCTGGTTTCGTTCAGGAGGCGCAGCAGTTCGTTCTCCAAGTCCTGCAGAGTTCTTTTGCCTGCATCAAACAATCATCATCAGCAACTGAACCCATCATAAACCAGCTCTGGACCTGTTGCAATTGTCATCACCAGCTCGTCCTTTTGCTCCTCCAGTTGCGGCTTTTCCTTGCGAACCACAATGCCCAAAAGCTGCGCCTCCAGACCCTGTTCTTTCACCGCAAAGTTCACCATTGTGGTCTTGGTCGAAACCTCCGGCGCATAGTGGGGGTTGGTCAGCTTGGTGGTAACAAAAAACTTGAACTTATCGTCGTAGGAGACGAATTTATCATCCAGCTGTCGATAACAAAAAATCAATCCAGAAACTTGACGAATTCGAGTCCTCACTTTAATCATATTCTGGCCGCCCTGCCTCACTATAGCCTTGGCTAGAATGGGATTAATGGATGGATCCATATGCTCAGAAATGTTCTGAAGCAGAACCGGATGGCCGAACTGAACAGCTTTTTCCACCGTTGCCATGAAGTTGGGCATTCCAAAGTCGATCACCTGGAAATTGAGTTGAAAATTGTTCGTTTCTAATGGAAAGCGAGCGGAGACTTAAAACTTTGCCATATTGAGAAAACCAGTTCAGTCTAAATATTCCCAAAACTTAATTTGAGTCGCTCGCATCAGATGCTGATTTTTGTTTCCCTTGTAAATTGGTCAAACAATTGACTTTTTTGCGCAACTGCAAGCTCTTGAATAAAAAATCGCAACGTCTAATTCAGAGCAAATGGTGATAGGAAATTTTTACCATCTATAGAAGGCATCTACAACTGTTGAAAATTGTATTCAAATCGCATGAGATCCTGATTTTTATTCCCACTGTAAATTTTGGGATAAAAATGTACGTTTTCACGCAACTGCAAGCTCTCTAATAAAAATTCCTAACTTCTAATGCAGAGTGAGTGCGAACTTGAAATTTTTACCATCTAAAGGAAAGACTTGTCTAAATCTGGTTTAAATTTAATTGGAATCGCATTCGATCATGAGTTTTGCTACCATTGTAACTGTTGGTCTAAAAATTTGTAATTTCTAATGCAGGTCGACTGGGGCTTCAACATTTTGTAGGCTAAAGAACGCAGTTGAATCTAAAAAGACTCAAAATCTAAAAAATCTAATTCAAATCGCATCTGATGTTGATTTTTTTCGCCCATTTTACCACCCTGTTGTATATGCAAAATTTGGACGTTTCCCATATAAGTTCATAAAACGCCTTCAAGAATCGCCCCACTAAAATATTTGCCCGGTTTACCTGCAAATTGTTCTTTCCCTCCATAGCTTTGATCCATTTTTGTGCCTGACATTGCGGATCAATAACCAAAGGCCATCGCGACCCAGTTGTAACAATAATCCCATTTTCTGTGCTGAAATTATCGGCCGGCAGGCCCTGAATGTTCCACTCCCGGATCGTTGTCGGATCGCTCAGAAACTGGATAACGTTGAAGTCCTGGGACGTTGGAATTTCCAATGTGACCATCTAAATATCGTCATGTGTGTGATCAGTGTGTGTTAATTTCGAGGCGTTTTTTCATTGACTTGCATATTTTTGCCACATGATGATCAGCTCGTCTCGGTAGACGCTGACAAAAGGTCCCAAATACGATATAAAAGCGGTCGCCAATAGACAATCGCCCGGTAAAAATGTGTATTTTAGATCCAGAGTTTTTACCGTTTCTTCCCATCTTTGCCGTTCACCTGCCAGACAGTCTACTAGAGTGGCGGCTCGTTCCAGTTTAAGTTTCAACAGCTCTGCCTAAAAAACCCAAATTATCACTCTAAATGGTGCGTCTAGATCTGACGAGCCGAGCCCAAGCCGAGCCTGAGCCGCGGCAAATTCCTTTGATGTTTCAACATCGATACAATTTCCGTCGGTGTTTTGCTGAAATCTGCAGAGTACAGGGTGTCCCATTTTCCACACTTTTATATGTCACTAAGAAAATATAGATTCTGGCTCTGAAATCGGCCTTTTTTATTTTCCCTTGCATCTTTTAAGCAAGCAAACATTTTGATTTTCCCATTTTAAGTTTGATCTATTAAGCGCACATGACACCCAGGGGCGGATCCAGCTTTAAAGTCAGGGGGGGGGTTATGTAGAAAAAATACAGTCTTCTGTTGTTTATGAAATTAGAAAAATGAACGTCGTTTTGTGCAAGGGTGGCGCAAGATTATTGCAAAATTTTATGTTTTCCGTCCCGTTTTGCATGTTTTTCGGAAGCAAAATGAGCAAGAACGCTCGTTTGTACGTCATTCTAGACAGAAATAAATGGCCTTTTTAGAAAGTGAACCATGGATGGGGAATTGTTGGCAGTTTTCTCAAAAAATGCTTGAATTCAAGAAGTTTTAGATTTGCGTGGTTTTTTTTGAGTTGCAAAATCCACTTGAACATGACGCTGCTTTTTTCGAAGTTTCTCAAGAACCATTCGAGCCACACATTTCGTTTTGGCATAGTTGGATAGAGAATTGAAATGTCGATTCAGTCGTAGCAACGTGAGTGAGGAAATTCGAGTAGTTTTGACTCAGAAAGCGAGATTTGAATATCAGACACTTGGGTGCAAGATTATGCCAAAATTCCATGTTTTCCGTCCCGTTTTTGCTCATTTCTCGGAGGCAAAATGAGCAAGAACGCTCATTTGTACGTCATTC